GCCATCTGTCTCAATGTTTTCTATTTCCTCAAAGTAACCAACTTCTCCCACCCACTTTTTCTCTGGCAGAAGAGGGAGAATTGACAACATGATTCACTGAATTCTCCTGGGCTCTTTGGCTATTCCCGCTGTGGCCAGCCTTCTACTGGCAATGACACCAATTTCATAAAATTGCAAAACATAAAAGTAACTGGCCTGAAATGTTCCATGTGAGTAAGAGTCAGTGCTTCAACCCGCTGACTCTCTTTAACCTGTTGGCAATTGTCCCATGTACTGTGTCATTGATCTCATTTTTCCTTTTAATTATGTCCCTATAGAAACATGTCAAGCAAATGAAACCCAGTGTTACAGGCTGTGGAGATCCCAGCACAGAGGCCGATGGGGGAGCCAGGAAAACTATGACTTCATTTCTCTTCCTCCTTTTTGTATATTATTGGCCTTCCTTCCCTTTTGGAGACTTTTTGCCACCTTACGAAAGAAAGCAAGTTAGCTGTGATGTTTGGAGAAGCTCTAGCAATTCTCTATCCTTCTGGCCATTCACTCATTTTAATTATTGGGAATAACACGCCGAGGCAGGCATCTATTAGGATGCTGAGATAGGGCAAAATGGCCTCCCTGCTATAAAATCTTAGCTTTCTAAGTGAACTTGAAAACCAAATCTCATTGCCTAATAAAAAATACATCCTCGTTTTTTCCAGTTATTCCATTTATTTTGGGTACACATCTTGAAGCGTTCTTGAGATCTATTAGCACGTGAATGTATACATCCTTTCTGCGTCTCTACACCCCAAATTCTCATCTTCACTGTTTCCTCTGAGAATTTCAGAGCTCACAGCTCACAGTTATTATTTTTGCCTCCTCTCTGCAGAGGTTAGGCATGTCCTTCCTAGTTACTTTCTGTTAAAGTTTTGCTTTGGCCCGTAGTAAAGTGCACTGAGCTGCATGAACTGATTATTTTTTTCTTTTTTTTTCTATCACATATTTTTCATTCCTGACCCTTAATTTTGCTCCCATGATGGCTCTGTTGGGTCATTTCCCCCTTGGATTATTAACTAGGAACTCAGATCTTCCCCTGTCCCGTATCTGGCTCAGGTTCCCAGTTATGTATCTGTCTCCTGCCAAGTGAGTGATGCATTAGGTGGTCTCCTAGATAATATATTCTGGTGGACCTTTTTCTGGCATCTCCTATTCATTTGCCTTGAAATTAAATTTCTGTACAAACCATCTCCTATTCAGGCAGCAATAGGATGGGAATAGAATTCTTTCAAGCATCTCTCTCTAAGGCTATTCCTAGAAGATTCCTTCACAATCTCGGTAAAAGGATGGGGCTAAGTAATGTCAATCAGACTGCTTCCCTCAGGTTCCTTTCTTAATATGACCTGCAAGGGTTCTTTTCATTAGGGACTTTAGCAAAACAATGAATTGAGAAGAAATAGCATACATTGTAGGATAACTGTTATCCCTTAAAAAAGCATGTATACCCTTAACAAACACAGGGCAAATTACAAAAAAATAACAGAAAACAAGAATCACTACAAAAGCGTCATTCTACTATGAATATCAAATCCTTCCTTACTGGAGTAGCACTGACACACTTGATCTAGAATTTAGAACATCTAAGTTCAGTTCACGTCTGTTCCCATATGACTGTGCACTTCAGCTCCTACCCATTTGCCATGTCAAATTCTGGTCTATTTCAATCTGTTCATTTCCTTTTGTTATAACTAAAATATTAATTACCTGAAGATTATCCATTTCTCTGCATATGATGATGTAAAATTCACCCCATAATGTCCCAATATTTACAGTCTTATGTAGGTAAACTTCATCAACTATATTTCTAATAGCCTATCATTTTGGATGCTATTTGTTGTATAAGACAGGAGAACTGATATTCTTTTGATGGGATATATTAGTATAGTCTACAAAATATCTGCTAATTCTTCACCAGGATGAACTTTACATGCCTCTGTAGGTTTAGATGCAATAAAAATTTTGTAAAATTAGTACTTCTGAGAAGGTTTCCTCCATTAGTCTGAAGTCCTTTTCTCCATATTTAGGTTTTTACCTCCACTGACCATGACCAGGCTTCAAAGTATGAAGGTGGTGACCAAACACTCTCACACAATTATTTTTTCTGTTTTCCAGTGGTTTGTTTTTTTTTTTGTAGTTAAGGCATTTAACATGAGATCTATGCTTTTCACAAATTTTTAGGTGTACAATGTAGTGCTGTTAACTGTAGGCACAATATTGGAGAGCATATCTCTAGAACCTATATTTCTTGCATAACTGAAACTTGATACTCATCGAATAGCAACTCTCCATTCTTATGTCCTTTCAGGCCCGGGTAGCCACTGTTTTGCTCTTTGCTTTTATGATTTGTCTGTTCTAGATACCCATGTAAGTGGAATCGGTCAATATTTGTCCTTCTGAAACTAGCTTATTTCACTTAGCAGAATGTCTTCCAGGTCCACCCATGTGTTTGCATATTGCAAGATTTTCTTCTTTTTAAAACTGAGTGATATTCCATTGTCGGTATGTAACATGTTTTCTTCATTCACTCATATGTCAGTGGGCAATTAGGTTGCGTCTACATTCAGCTGTTGTGAATAATATCACAAGAAACATAAGGATCTCTCACTTGGAGATCCTGATTTCAATTTTTTAATTTATTTTAATTTATTTTTAAGTTTGTTTATGTATTTATTTTGAAAGAGAGAGAGAGAGAGAGTGTGAGCCAGGGAGGGGAGGAGAGAGAGGGAGAGGGAGAATCCCAAGCAGGCTCCTCACTGTCAGTGCAGAAGCTGACATGGAGCTCGATCTCACAAATTGTGAAGTCATGGCCTGAGCTAAAATCCTATGGTTAATTGACTGAGCCCTCCCCCCCCCCGCCCCATTATTTAAATTCTTTTAGATAAATTCCCAGAATCGGGGTTGCTGGATCATATGATAGTTGTATTTTTAACCTTTTAAGGAACTTTCATCTTGTTTTCATAATACCGGCACCATAACTTCCATGCTATGCAACACAGGTATGTATAAAATCTACATTTACTTACAAACAAATAAACAAAAAATGTATTCTAAAATTTATTTCGATAAAGGTATTATTATAGTTACTGAAGGCCTCCCTTTTTTTTTTTTTTTTACCAGGAAACTATGGAGAAGAAAATGATATGCTTGGGTCAGGAATCATCACTTTTTTCTTTTTTTCTTTTTAACATTTTTATTAGTAAGAGACAGAGACAGACCATGAACATGGGAGGGGCAGAGAGAGGGGGAGACACAGAATCTGAAGGAGACTCCAGGCTCTGAGCTATCAGCACAGAACCCAATGCTAGCCTCAAACTCACGAACCGTGAGATCATGACCTGAGCCGAAGTCGGATGCTTAACCAACTAAGCCACCCACACGCCCTGGATCATTTCTAAGCCCAGAGGAAAGCAGTCATCTGTGAACATGGCCACAGAATGAGGCATTTGCCCCAAAATCCAAGCTGTGTCTCAGGAATGAACATTTGTCCGTTGAGGAAGGATGAGACAATATGTGTTCCCAAAGAAGGTATGAGCACCCTTAGAATTATTCCATGGAAACACTATATTGCAAAGTGTTTCTCAGTAACTCTAAATTTAGAGAAGCTACTTCAAAATAATAGTCTGTGGAAATTAGGTAAATTTCATCATCGGTCTCCTGCCAAATAGTCTAGAAGAGCTAGATTCTCAGATACAGTGTGGCATGGCCGAAGGTGGAGAATAGATCAAAACACAGGATTTTGCTCTCTTCTTTCATGTGTACAACTTCCCTTGAGCACCTTTTAAGTGAAAAGGGAAAATATAAAGATAATGAATATTGTTCTTTATTATGACTCCTTCATCTCATTATATATAGCATCACAGGGGTTCCTGGGTGGCTCAGTCGGTTAAGCGTCTGACTTCAGCTCAGGTCATGATCTTGCAGTTTGTGAGTGTGAGCCCCACGTCGAGCTCCGGAGCCTGGAGCCTGCTTCAGATTCTATCTTCCTCTCTCTCTCTGCTGCTCCCCTGCTCATGCTCTGTCTCTCTCTCTCTCTCTCTCACTCCCTGTATCTCTCAAAAATAAATAAACATTAAAAATTTTTTAAAATATATGGCATCACAAACTAAATGGCCATTAAATGTCACTTGACTCATAAGACAATGCACTATTCTATGAAACCTTGTGCATGTAATCATTCAGCTGAACAACCAAGATAAAGGAGCTAAAATATTTTTTTTAAACCTAATTATCTATATTTAGTGTTAACCTTTTAAATTCGCTGAAAATCTATGGTTCTCAATGTCAAGTCAAACTTTAGACTTTTAGTGGTAATCAATATTATCATTTCAGAAAATGAAGATTCTTCCACAAATTTTGATTTGGGCCCCTTTTCTATTTGCTAGAAAATCTTCAGAGGTTAGATTTGCCAGATTAAATACAGGACACTCAATTAAATTTGAATTTCAGTAATCTCATGTAATTAGTACACACACTTAAAAAAAATCATTCATTGTTTATTTGAAATTCAAGTTTAACTGTGTGTCCTGTATTTTTATTTGCTAAATCTAGTATTTCTACGGAGGTTACTAGTATGTGCTACAGATTAACGAATCCAAAACATAACAAAACATAGCCTTAGAAGGACAGTGCAGGATATTGAAAGAGAACAGGTCTAATTTGCATCCTAAAATGTAGCTCAGCCTAAATGCACCCTATGTGGAAAAGTAAAACCCGCTGATACAGGTTTTACATACAGGTGACACATGCAGTGGCCAGGCCAGGGATTACCAATCACATTAGCTTCCCAAGACTAATTAGGGTTTAATGATGATAGCTACAGTCTTTATTTATCATTCCAGTCTCCATCACAAGAGAGACTACAGTAAGAGAGGTAAAGAAAATTACAGCAAAATCTAAGAAGTAGGTGTACCTGTCAAACTACATCAGTTCAACTAGAAAACGGTTGGAAATTTCTGTATTTTACCATGCCGGATAAAGTAAAGAGCACCTTAATGCTCATAGCAGCTGGAGAATTTTCAGTGGGGATTTTAGGGAATGCGTTCATTGGATTGGTAAACTGCATGAACTGGCTCAAAACTAGGAAGATTGCCTCCATTGATTTAATCCTCACAAATCTGGCCATGTCCAGAATTTGTCTATTATGTGTAATACTGTTAGACTATTTTATACTGGAGCTGTATCCGGATGTCTATACTACTGGTAAACAAATGCGAATCATTGACTTCTTCTGGACACTAACCAACCATTTAAATGTCTGGTTTGCCACCTGCCTCAGCATTTTCTATTTCCTCAAGATCGCGAATTTCTTCCATCCCCTTTTCCTCTGGATGAAGTGGAGAATTGACAGCGTGATTCCTAGGATCCTGCTGGCATGCCTGGCCCTCTCTGTGCTCATTAGCCTTGTCGTCACTGAGAATTTGAATGATGACTTCAGGTCTTGCGTTAAGGTAAAGAAGAAAATAAACGTAACTGTGAAATGCAGAGTGAATAAAGCCCAATATGCCTCCATCAAGATTTGCCTCAACCTGTTGACCCTATTCCCCTTTTCCGTGTCCCTGGTCTCATTTCTCCTCTTACTCCTCTCCCTGTGGAGACATACCAGGCAGATGAAGGTCGGTGCCACAGGGCGCAGAGACCCCAGCATAGAAGCCCACGTGGGAGCCATGAAAGCTGTCATCTCCTTCCTCCTCCTCTTCATTGCTTACTATTTGGCTTTCCTCGTAGCCACTTCCAGCTACTTTATGCCCGAGACCGAATTAGCAGTGATGATGGGTGAGTTGATAGCGCTCATCTATCCCTCAAGCCATTCGTTTATTCTAATTCTGGGGAACAACAAATTAAGACAGGCGTCCCTAAGGGTGCTTTGGAAAATAGAGTATATCCTAAAAAGAAGAAATCGCTAAGACCGTAAATGGATCTGAAGACTATCATTTACTGGGATGAAGGAAGACATGATGTTTCTTAGTTGTCTTCAGTTCTCTCATTAATGTTGGTTTCTTATGGTTAATTACTCTTAAATACATTTAGAATGTCTATAGTTGTAGCTTAGGAAATCTCACGGAGAGATGATTTTGCCTCTTTCTCTCTCTCCCTTCTCTCTCTCTCCCTCCCTTCAAAGTTTTTTTTTTAACATGTTTCAGAATATATAAAAGTTAATATCCTCATATTAACTGTCAGAGGAGAGAGTATTTTCATAGTTGGGTCTAAATCATTTCTCTAGATGCAAAATTGTACAACTAATTCAGAACAACTGTAATAGCATCTCCTTGTTATTTGCATCCTTATGAAAAGCAGCTCACTCATCCCCATGGTCCTAGTTACACTTTTTTCTCAGATCATCTGGCTAGTCTCCACCTTTGGAAAAAGCTCAATCTGGTGAAGGTCTTAAGTGTAGTGCAATTCTACGAATGTCGCAGAAATGAATATTGATTATTATCACCGTTAAGATATATATTGTGATGAAAATAAATATTGTCACAGCAAGTTTGAAAATTATTTTAGACTAGAGTTGAATGAAGGGAAGATACTTTATCTGTGTGAGAGAAGGAGAGTTTATATAGAACGTTTCTATAAAACAATGTTGGCTAAAACAACAAACAATTTATTGCTTATTGAAGTATATTTCTCCACAAAAGAAACGTGTAAGTTTGCTTTTAGCAAAGTAGGACTACACCGGGAACTGATTGTCATCATACCCTTATCAGATGAAATCTTCAATCAAAAACTTATGTATTGAGATGTTAAAATGTCAAAACTGTCAAAGGAAGCATTGATTCAATACAGATCATCTCTACATGCCGGGAGAATACTATTTGGATTATACACAAGTTATCTATGAAATATCTATTTGGGAAATTTCAACAAAAGCACGTCCTTTATGTTGTGGAAAGGATATTTTGGAGTGATTGACCCTGTTACCAATCAGCCTAGAGTAGCTATAACCTTTGTGTGTGGAAGAGAAAATGTTTATAAATATTCTCATCGATGAACCTGGCAAAAATAAAAATTACTTCCACATGAGTTTCATATGTTAATCTTTATTCTCCGAATCTGACTGTGCAAGATACACATTGATTAAACTGGTAGATTTTAAAAGATTTATCCTGACTGCCTTGTAAGTTAAAGAAACTAGAAAATTAGCTGCATAAGCCGAAGCCTACATTCTTTTCAATATTGACTTAAAGAGTACCTGTCCCCACCACCCACTTAGGCAGAGACCAATTTATTTAGATTTATTAGACATGGGAACAACAGCAACAAAAGCCCCCGAGGGCTAGGGGAAATCTTAGAAAAATCTTCATGTTTGATGTCTTCATATTGTGGACCCTAAAAAAGTGATCATCTGCACACATTACAAAAATAACAGTTCAATATTCAATTTCTCTGTGAATAACAGCCAGGCAAAGGATACTAAGGTGGAAACAGAGGCCTATTAGAAATCTCTTACTATACATAATTCTACTTTACTGGTATGTCAAGGATGAAAGTCATATAGTCAAAGCAAGTGGTTTATCTTCTGAGAATATATTAGTTCTGAGAAATTATGCAAAAATGATAATAACTTAGAGTTGAAAGAAGTATTTGTACTACTTCTTTTACTCCCAGCGTTTGGGAGTAGAGTTTTTTAGATTTGCTCTAAAAGAGTGTAGCAAACTGGTTACAGAGAGTGCAGACAAATTCCTTCTTCTTTTTTTTTTTTTTATGTTTATTCATTTTTGAGGGGGGAGAGGCAGAGAGAAAGGGAGACACAGAATCTGAAGCAGGCTTCAGGGCCTGAGCTGTCAGCACAGAGCCCCACACAGGGCTCAAACTCACAGACCATGAGATCATGACCTGAGTCAAAATTGGACTCTTAACGGACTGAGCCACCCTGGTGTCCCTTCCTTCTTGTTTTCACTCCTTGTTTAATAAGTACATGTACACTCATACATCGAATATCTGAGTGTTAGGCATGACCCTGGATGCTGTAAATACAGATGAAAGGTGATAAAGTCCATGCTCTCAAGTAATGTGTAGTCATGGAAAACATTATGGAAGACAGATAACGATCGAGTAAATAAACTCATGGTTTTTTGACTCATCTTTGGCTCAAGTCATGACTGATGCAACTGAGAATTCCTGCAGGAGAGGAATCACTCTATACAGTGTAGTCAGACTAGACCTACCTGAGAAACTGAGATTTTAAGCTGAAACTTGAATCACATGTATAACCCTGCCACGCACCGTCTTGAAAAAGTAATATCTCGAAAAGATGGCACAGCAAGTGCCAGTACCCTGAGGAACAAGTGTTTGAAGAAGAGTCATAAGAGCAGAGTGACCAGAACATGGTGAGCAAGGGGGTGACTGGCAAGATCATGAAATGCCTTGGAGGTCATCAGAGGGAATTTAGACTTCAGTGCAATGGGAAGACATTGAAAATGTGATATAATTTTTTATATGTAGATGTGAGCTTACTTTGGTTATAAGAATAGATGTAGTATGTGTTGTAATGAGGAAGAGTACAATTAAGGGGACCAACTAGTAAGTTATAGTGTCGTAAGTGGTCCCTGTGAGAAATCATAGTAACGTGATTTGGAGGGCGGTAATCGAGTAGACTTTGTTTAAAAGACACACATTTCCTTTCCTTTTAATTTAATTTTACTTTTTTTGAGAGAGAGAGCGAGAGAGCTTGTGCACTAGTGGGGGAGGGGCAGAGAGAATACTAAGCAGGCTCCAGGCTCAGCTTGGAGCTTGATGTATGGCTCGATCCCTCAACTGTGAGATCAAGACCTGAGCCAACATCAAGAGTCAGGTGCTTAACCTACTGAACCACCCAGGTGCCCCAAGACTTTTTAAAACTTAAATATTTTTATTTTTTTAAGTGATCTCTACACCCCACACGGGGCTCCAACTCACAACTCCGAGATCAAGAGTCACACACTCCACTGACTGCGCCAGTCAGGTGCCCTGAGTTAGGGCATTTTAAAATGGATGAATTCTATATATTGTACAGGTAAAGCTGATCAGTCTTATTACTTGGTTAGATAAGGGGAAAGGATTGAAGAATAAGAAGATTCAAAATACCTTAAGATTGTTTTTACGTTAGCAATTGAGACGACATGGCTACTTAAGATGAAGTGACAAATGCTAACAAGGGATGGGAGGACCAAAATAAAAAATTATTTTTTTAACGTATTGTGTTTGAGAGATCTATGAAAGGACCAAGTGAAAATGTCAAATAAATAGCTGAAAATAGGAATCTGTACCTAAGGACTGAAATAACAGATACATATTTGGAAGCCAGCAACATAGAAATGGGGTGACCTAAAAAAGTTACAGAGAATTGAAACCAGCTTGGAACCCTGAGATATTCAAGTCTTTAGAGGTTAAATTACAGAGAAAAGACCAGCAAAAGAAAACAAGAAGAAGGTAAGAAAAAAGCAAGGAAAGTCTGGTGGAATGGAAATAAGGGATGTCAGTATGTTAGGAAGAGGGAGAGATCAGCTTTCAAATGATGTTGAGAAAAACACTAAAATTGGTATAACAAAGTAACCATTGGTTTTGGCAGCGCGGATGTAATTGATAACCCAATGGCAAGAGCAGTATTAGTGAAGTGTAGGGACAGAAGCTAGGGTCAGTGGGGAAAGTTTAGGAGGGAATATAACTCGAGAAAGCAGAGAGATGGTGAATGTATAATTTTTTAGTAAGTTTTGTTATTGAGGAGAGTAGAGAATGGAACATGGGGCCAAGACAAAATTTTAGTGTCTTCACCGGTTCTGTTTTGAAGTTGGATGATACAGTGTGTGCATGCAAATTGAAATGATTCGACAGAGAAGGGAATAATAATATAGAAGAAGGGTAGTAATTGCTGGGGCAGTGATGTTAAAATCGTTATCTCTGACATTAAAGGATGGAACCCTCAGACCCAAGATAGGGCTGTTTAGGCGGATGAGCCTAAAAATATGAAACGTCCAGATTTCCTGGAACCCTCAGGGCCAACAAGAGCAAACCCTTAACACTTACAAGAACGGGAGAGCCTCCCCACTTCTGAAAACTGTTCAATTAACTCAGTTTGAAGCAAGTTAATATTTATTCTGCTCAGAAAATGCCCTGCCACTCCTCGTGACTTCCAGACAAAGTTTCAACACAGCCTAATAAGGTGAGTACAATTTCTCTTTCAAAACAATATAGCTTCAAGCTAATACTAGCACATGTTGTTAACGTTATCAGCCAAAGCAATCGAACATGCTGGAAATGGGTCTTGAGAGGGATGGATCAAAAGGCTCTCTTTATTCAGTCTGGGTATGAAGAATTTATTGACCTGGGGGCCCTCAATAATGATTTAGAGTTCATATTCTGACAAGGGAGCATAAATACAGCCCTAATATTCTGTTGGGAAAGCTCCATGAAATTGTCCACAATGTTGGCCTCATATGTAAGGTAGAATTGCTGCAATGTCATTGACAGGATATTAAGAAGGATCAGAAAGCTCAGGAAGATGGTAATGACAGAAAAGATAAACTATGTAAGACTCAAGAAACCACCTAACTATGTTCCCCCAGGAGATTCCTGAAGGCATTTTCTTCACTGAGGCAGTAATGAATGTTCTGGTGAGGGGAACACTTGCATTATGGAGAACTCAATGACGGGATGTCCTCTGTAGGCCAGGATTGGCTGATGGGAGTGGCTGCCAGGAACCTGGGCTCCATGCATCCATGAATCCATTGGAATTGTCTGTTGTAGCACTGAACCATCATCACCATATAGAGCACCAAGGCCAGCCCGGGTGCTAATCATCATATAGTGATCTGCAGGAATCTATGGTCGGCACTAAGAAAAATGATATTCCTAGGATTCAGATAGATAAATAATCAAGCAATGTGCTTCTTGAATTGTGTAAGGAAAAAAAATGAATACTAAGAAGTTACTGTAAGAGAAAACATTTTTCCCTCTCAAGCTTCTAACTCTTAGTCACTTCACTTCATTGACTGAAGAGGAGGCTGGATCCCACTGGGGAGTGACATTGCCAGGTTTCATGGTACATGCTTTCCCAATCTCGATCCTCCCCAAAAGGAACTGTACTCACTGGACAGAGTAGTGGGGAACCAGGGAAAGAGATAATTACATTCTTTGAGAGTTGTTAAATATATAAGATATGACCAGGCAGTAATACCAGAGCAACTAAAATGCCATCATGATCCTCCAGTGAGAGTGGAAGCCCAGGGGGGACAAATCCTTCTGTGGCTCCAATGAGTTCACATACCTCCCATGTGGACTTTGGAGAGTGGAGGCGTGGAGGAAGGCAGTGAGAAGTGCGTGGCTAAATCTCTGCATCTAATGTAGTATTAATGGCCTAGGAACACTGAATAATCCAGCAACATTGAAGAGAATATGGGAAGATAAAGCTGGAGATGTGGGATAGTTCCAGATTGTGAAGACTGTTGTCAGTGACAAAGTGTGGTTGATTCTATGGGCGGCAAAGAAATTTTTGGAGACTGGGAGTAGCATGATCATTTTCTTTGCAAATACTTCAGACTGGGGTACAAAGTTTAATATAAAATTTTGTTTTAGGAGGAGGGGTAGCTCCTTATGAAGAGATTTATTTCTTCATAAATCTGGCAAGCTGGAAGTTCCTCCTGGTGGGCTGGGAAACAGCTGGATGATACTGAGAGAGCAGAAATGGGGAATAGAGCTCTGAACTGAAGATGATATTGCTGGGCACGTGTCTAACTAGGAAAGCCATGTTTTGGTATCTCTTTCTGAAAACAAAGCAGGGCATTAAATGGGTTATTTGTAAATGTCCTTACCTGTTCACTCATTTTAAATTATGCAAAACTATTGATTTGGACATAAGACCATGAGCTTTGCTGCCCAGTAGTTGGATTGAAATGATGGGAACACATTATCTGGTAAATTACTGTCAGTTATCTTTAATGACTAGTGTTATTATGAGGCCTGTTGGCTTTTATCTTTTTATGTTCTTTTCCCCTATGCTTTCAGTAAATGATGGAAAATTGGAAAAGATCACAGCTGGGACTCCCACCCCGCTTGAGTGGTAGAAAGAAAGCTCCTACTCTATTCTTAAATCCACCCAGGTCACCTTCAAATGTTTCCACCCTCAGGTTTAGGTACCATCATACATTTTGTGCTGTGAAATGTACCCAACCTCATCTGTAGAATGATTCCATTCCTTCAGAAATTGTATGACAAGCCTATCAAGGTACGGAGAATACCTGCGCCCCCCGAGACTAATTCCACTTCCAAGGAGAAGGTCAGTTCAAGGTCTGATTTCAGAACTGAACTTGGCAGGGCATGTGGGAATAAACAGAATTAAACATGTTTACTTTGTGTCTGTCATTTTACCCGTAAATTCTCCATTAATACTGATACTAAAAGCCAATGACTTCTATATTCTTTATAGAAATGTCCACCAGAACCTTCATTTTTATCCTCACCTCGTTTTATGGTCTGCCTTTGGAAGCCACCTGCATTTACACGTGTGAGTCCCCGTAGGTACAACCAAATGTGGAAGGACCCTCAGAGAAACAAGATCTTCTGGGTTAAGCACAGTTCCTAAATTGTCTACCTGGAGCCCAACTGAGAGATACTTTTCTATAAAAGCTTTTTATGTTCGTCTCCATTCAGGGGCTTTGGAGGCGGATGGAACAAGTGTGCTGTCATTAATATAAGGATGCTCATTCATTTAAGAAATGTGGTACATAAACTTTCACGCTGTAGTCATTTGCTGAGGCTGCTGTAACAACGTACTACAAACAGAGTGGCTTAAACAACAGAAATCCATTTCCTCACCGCTCTGGAGACTAGAAGTCCAAGAACAAGATGTTGGTTCAGTCTGAGGGCTCTGAGGACCATCTTTCTCAAGCGTCCCTCCCAGCTTCTAGTGGTTTGCTGGTAATCATAGCTTCTGCTATGTCACCCCAATCTCTGCCTTTATCTTCACGTGGCATTCTCCCCGTGTACGTGTGTGTGTCCAAATTTCCCCTACTTATTTATTAATTGTTATTGTTTCTGGTCACTTTTCTCTCTATTTTAAAAAAAAAAATATTGAGGTGTAGGGGCGCCTGTGTGGCTCAGTTAGTTAAGTGTCTGACTCTTGGTTTCAGCTCAGGTCATGATCTCAAGGTTGTGAGTTCGAGCCGCCATTGGGCTCTGTGCTGACGATGACAGCCTGCGATTCTCTCTCTCTCAAAATAAATAAATAAACTTAAAAAAACGGAAGTGTAGTTTACATATAATATTATATTAGTCTCAAGAGTACAACATAGTGATTCAACATTTACATACATCATGAAGTGATCACCCTGATAAATCTACCTGCCATCCGTCAGAATACAAAATTGTTACATATTATTAACTGTATTCCTTATGTGTACATCGTAACCCTGTGTTTTATTTATTTTATAAACGTACGTTTGTACCTTTTTAATCTGCTTTTTAATTCTGTTTTGCCCATCCTCCCCCCACTTCCCTCTGGCAACTACTGGATCATTTTCTGTATCTATGAGCCTATTTCGGTTTAGTTTTGTTTGTTCATTTGCTTTACTTTTTAGATTCTACATATAAGTGAAATCATATGGTATTTGTCTGTTCTGTCAGACTTACATCACTTAGCATAATACCTTCTAGGTCTACCTGTATTGTCACAAATAGCAAGGTTTCCTTCTTTCTTTATGTCCAAGTAATATTCCATTGTATCCATATACCTTATTCTCTCTATCCATTCATCTGCTTCCATATCTTAGCTACTGTAAAGAATACTGCAATGAACATAGGGGTACATGCATCTCTTCAAAATAGTATTTTCATTTTCTTTGGATAAATGCCCAGAAGTGGAATTGCTGGATTGTATTGAAGTTCTATTTTTAATTTTTTTAAAGAACCTCCAAGCTGTTTTTTATAGTGGCTGCACCATTTTGCATTCCCATCAATGGTACATGAGTGTTCCCTTTTCTACATATCTTCACCAACACTTGAGCCATAATATGTTACATATGAGTTAAAGGACTTCCAAAAATCAAGGGGGGTTACAAGGTAATTCTCTCTGTGTCTGAGCTGAGAAAAGAGTATGTGTATTCGTATATGAAGTTGGCAAAGTCCATCACTGGTGTCAAGAATGAAATTTTTTGCTTTGTAATATTGGTGGTAGTTAAGTCCTCACAAAATTATTAAAATCAGAACTACCTCTAAAACTGCACGATACAGAACATTTGGAGTCCAATCTGGGTTTTGTATTGCCAAACCTGTCCTTCTTGTCCCCTAAGAACTGTGACCCTAGAAGGACAACAAGAGCCAGGGTTTTAATGCTGATGACTTTATTGATGATTTGAAGTTGGAGAAAGAAAGGCCAAGTATACATCACTGAAAAGTCCATGGTCACCAGGTGATCTCTATCAATTTCTAAAACAAAGAGAAGAATTTTAGACAGAAGTATTCATTTTGGCTTGGGCATTATCTATGCTGATATTCTACTAGTGGGTAGTCTCATTACAAGACATCATGTTAAGAGAGAGAGGAGGAGGACACGGGAGAAGGCGAACAAAAGAGAGTAAGAGAAGGAAGAGAGAGGAAAAGAGGAAGAGGAGACGGGAAGTAAATCTTAGGGAGATTGTAGGTTAATATAAGAAAAACAGAATCAAAAAAAAAAGAAAGAAAGAAAGAAAGAAAGTTCAGGATGGAAGTAACACCTGCTCTTATGAGAATGGGGGAGACTTTTCTATGGGTAAGGTTGAGGCAAGGAGAACTGTGACAAAGACAGGAAATTTAAGAGGGAGTAAAGTCAAGATTTAAATGAGAGAAGGAACATAAGCAAGAAGAGAGAATTAGGAAATAGAAAAAGAGAAAGTCACTAGATTGGTGAATAAGAATACAACTGATACCTAGAGATCACGGGAGGCCTCTTTAGGTGGTTTTCCTTGTCATTGGCCACCACATTCACCACTCGGGCTATCTCTTTCACGCTGGCCACCATGGCCACCACGGCCACCACGGCTACCCTGGCGATGTCGGTTTCTTTGGCCACCTGGACCACCTAGACCACCTGGGCCACTTTGGTCACTCAGGCCACCTCGGCCGCCTGGGCCACGTAGGCCCCATCTGCTATATGGGCTTCCCAGGCCTCCCTGGTTGTAAGGCCTGAGCTGAAGACCATGGCCTTTCTTTCTATTGTTGCCCATCTTGCCACTCTGATCTCCATCTTCTCCTTGGGGTTTGCCTTGTAAGTCTTCTGGGGTTTCTTCCAGTAATTCATTATCTGCTTAGACAAGAGAACACAGATTCAGAAAGGAACAAGTCAAAAGAAACATTAGCCACAAACTTAAACGAGGCAAGTATGGGATCTACCAGAGCCTAAATGTAGATAGAAGTAATATATTCCTGGTTTCAGTGGGACTAGGTAATGACCAGGGCCTAGAGAAGGGACAGAAGAGAAGGGGCAGAGAGATCCTGGCCTCGTAAGAATGCGTGTACTTAGCAGCTCTCGTTTGTCCATTTGCCACTTACTCTCCCCTCTTTTAATGCTTCTGCTTCATCTATATTGCCATCGATCCTGAACTTGCCATGGTATACATTCAATCTATACTTGCCAGGTAGCTCACGATGTCTAAGAAGAACCACCGGACAGATTCAGTGTGTTTACTTCCAGACATGCATGACAGTTTGACATGAATCTATTGGACGAGGGGAGATTATTAGCAACGCTGCTCACCCCAGTAGCATAGCAATCATGGGACACCCTCCCCCCTTTCTTCTATCACCTTCTACAAATTGTTAAGTCTATGGCAAGCAGAAGGTACAAATAAAGCCCGCCCTATATCATGTCCTTTTGCACGTTTCTGGTACCTATAATTGAGGCCCAAGGCCTCATCATTTCTCTCTCTTTTTTTAAGGGTTTATTTTTAGTAGTCTCCACACCCTACACGGGGCTCAAACTCACAACCCTGAGATCAAGAGTTGCACACTCTACCGACTGAGCCAGTCAGCCCTGCCCCCACTTTTTAAAGGATTTTATTTTTAAGTAATCCTTCACCATCTCTTGTATCAACATTCAATCACTGCTTCATAATCTCTTGGCTGTCATCCTTCTAATCATTTTCTTCAGACTTCAACACATATTTTATTGCACACCCATATATTATATTGTGCCTTCTGTCAGGTGTTAGGATTCCAAACTTAAAATACACAGTCTGTGCTCTCAGGCTGCGTTCTCAGTGTTTTCAGATCCACTAAGAAATTGCTGTCTCCCTTTCTTATTCAAAAATCTTTTCGTTGCCCACAGAAAAAATTTTAAGTGCAGTTCGCCATTCACAACACCCTTCACAAAATGAAGTTTACCCACTTCTCCAGCTCTATCTTCCTATATTCACTTCAACCTTACTGATTATTTAGTGTTCTTAGATTATTGAAAATAACACATGCATAGGGGCGCCTGGGTGGCTTAGTCGGTTGAGCGTCCCACTTTCGCTTAGGTCATGATCTCGCGGTTCGTGGGTTCGAGCCCCGCGTCGGGCTCTGTGCTGACTGCCAGCTCAGAGCCTGGAGCCTGTTTCAGTCTGTGACTCCCTCTCTCTCTGACCCTCCCCCGATCACGCGCTCGCTCTCTCTCTCCTAGAAATAAATAAAAATATTTTAAAAAAATCAAATATAGCTAGAATCCCACACTCTCGGTCTCAGGATGTAGGATGGTGGTTAGCGCGTTAACACACAGGTTCTGAGGCTGACCTTGGGTTCAAATCCAGGTTTTACTGCTGTGGGACTTCACCTTGTGGACCTCAGGTNCGAGCCCCGCGTCGGGCTCTGTGCTGACTGCCAGCTCAGAGCCTGGAGCCTGTTTCAGTCTGTGACTCCCTCTCTCTCTGACCCTCCCCTGCTCACGCTGTCTCTCTCTCTCTCTCTCCTAGAAATAAAAATAAAATATAAAAAAAGAAAAAGAAAAGAAAAGAATAGATGTAGCCTTGCATTTGCCTCTGCTTTCCCCCACTTCTCCGGTCTCCACGGTCCAGATCACATGGCATCTCCTGTAGGAGGCTCCCCCTTCTCTCCCCTGTTCTCAGCTTCCCTAAGGCCTTACTTTGCCACTTTTCTGATCGTGATCATTGTTATGTCCAAGTTCAATCTCCCATTAGATCCTGTGTTTTTTGAAGACAGGAACAATGTTTCATTTACTTTTGCATCCTTCGTACCAAGTACAGGATCCTGCCATGGTTACTGGTTTGTCTGTTTGTTTTTAATGATTTTTTTAAATGTTTATTTATTTTTGAGACAGAGAGAG